GTTTCCTTTACTCTTATCATCATGGGAAAATGTATTTCTTTTTCTTTTTTATTAATTAATATTATATTTTTATCGATTTTCTTTCATTTCCCCCACAGTTTCCTTAATGTCAGAATATGATGTCATTTCAGCGAATTAGAAGACGCTTTTTTCCATATATTTTATATTTTTATTCTTTTCTTATTTATTGATTGGTTTCAATTATTTTTCATTTGAACAAAAATTATGATAATAATAATAATAATAATAATAATAAGTCATAGATTTAACGATGAACTATTTATTCTAACATCCAGTGTAAACTATATGAGCGTTTACGTAGGTTGCGTCTATGTGTGCATATATATATATTTTTATGGTGTTGTGGCCCGTATTTCTTCTCAACGCAAAGGCCAGAACAAAAGTAACAGTGATTGCTTCCGATCCACCAATCCTCGAGAGAAGGGCCACTCTAAACCCTTGACATGTTTTCGGTGATCTACCTCACAATATGTTAATGCCGAAAATGGAGAGGGAAAATCCATAACAATAACACATACAAACCTTGTAACTTTTAAAATTTGTAACTGTAAGAATTTGCAAGGAAAGCATTTTGTTGTTGTAACATTTATTTCTTTTTTATTTTTGACTAATGATTTCTGTATAGGCGATTTCCCACCCCTATTATTTATCACTCAGTGAGTTTTAGCCACAACAATAATAAAATAGTCTTATGATATATTTTTTTATATATATTTGACAATGATCTTATAGCATATATTAGATATATCTACATATTATTTTCATATTTATGGATTGATTCCTATTATTCGTCAGTTAAACAGAAAATATGATAACAGTAAGAATAAGTGGTCCATTTGACAACGAAGTCTTTATCCCGATGCCCAGTGATGTATAGATGTATGTGTATGAATATGTTTGCGTATGTGTGTGTGCGCGCGCGCGTAAATTTGTGTACGTATTTAAATTTTAACTTTTTAATAATTTTAATTAAATTGAGTGATCTAATTTTATGTTAATATTACTTTGATTTTAACGCTTGGGTAACCTTAAGAGACGTTTTCGCCCAGCCTCCTGTGCCGTGAACAGGTTAATAGGAGTAGATAGGCTCGCCTATCGCCCAGCCAGTACTCCTTCCATATTTATTGTACAGGAGTAGAATATCTTGTTTAGGATATGGCTTACTGGTTCTTTCTTCCATGACTATAATAAATTTAACTTTTTGGTGAACTGACTGATCAGTGTCTGTGATTTTTCAATATGAAATATAATATGAAATATAATATCGTTGCCCACCAGAAATGCATGCAGGGACATTTCTGCATGCATTTCTGGTGGGCAACCCTAAGGTCACATTATGCTTTAGTCTTTGCCACCTTCTGGCCAAATTGTTTTGCCATAGGCGATAGATAATGATAATTATTTTGACTTTTTTTTTTGTTCTTAAAACAAAATCTGCTTATGGCAGATACAATGAAAAGAAATACGTGTAAATCACTTACCCACTTCAACCGTTCTTTCTCCAATATTCGTTGCGTGTATTCAATCCACTGATTAAGATTAATTTCGGATTTTATTCGAGACGCCGCTTGGATTGACATTCTTAACCTTCCTATTGAGAATTGTGCCACAGAGGTTACTTCTTGGTTAAGCCGGCATTAATGTTATTGTATCTTTCGTAAATACCAGGTTAAATTACAATCTTCTTCTTCTTCATTCACACTGACCTGTTCAGCTGTTATAGCCTACAAGAATCACATTTTCCGTGTGTACCAGTGTGACAGTTCTGATCACAATAGATGCCTATTTGTGTCTACTCGCAATATTTCTAAACGTGTCTTCAAAGAGGCTAAGTCTATGTTTGTGATAGAATGTAACACCGTATACGATCTAACAGGTTTGCTTCCAGTGACTACTGGCGGCTCTGTAATAATGTGTTAAATAATGTGTTAAATTTTACCCCTCAATTATTCACTCAATTTGAGGTGTTAACTTCTGCTGATGAAGCAGAATGTTTTGTTTGTAAATTCTCTTCGAATTCTACTCTTAACTCATTTGGTGTATCTTTACCTGACTTTCCACTTAAAACTGAGTCTCCATTGAGTGATATTCATATAACTCTAGCCATGGTTTCTGATATTATCTCTAAACTGGATCCTTATAAAGCATATGGCTAGAATAGAAAGTATACCTGCAATAACCTTTAAGAAATGGACTCCTTAACTGTATCCTATTATTTCTAACCTCTACAATAAATGCACTGCTGCTTCTTGCTTTCTCCTCTGAATTAGTTAAGCGATGTGAGATTCACATCGCAGGGTCTTCCTTCAGATAAGCAATATGGCTTTCGCCTCTCTAGGTCAACTGCTAATATATGAACGATTATTACTGAAAGAATCTATCAAGATTTAGATAATATGGTGAGGTTCTGGTCATTGCTTTGGATATCTCGATGGCATTTGAAAAGATTTGGAATACTTCTTTTCTTCACAAGTTGAAAGGAACGAATTTTTGAACTGATTCAGTCTTTTTTATTAAATCGCGAAATGAAAGTTTTTTTTTTATTGATGCAGCTGTTTCGCTTTTCTAGGTCAACTGCTAATATATGAACGATTATTACTGAAAGAGTCTATCAAGCTTTAATTAAAAACGGTGAAATTCCGGTTGTTGCTTTTATCGGAGGCACTTGGCAGGGTTTAGAATATTGGTTATCTTCACAAGTTGAAAGGTCATAGAATTTCTGGACGAATTTTTGAACTAATGCAGTCTTCCTTATCAAATCGCAAAATGATTTTTCTAGATCTTTTTGCATTGATGCAGGTGTTCTCTAGAGCTCTATCCTTGGACCTACGTTATTCCTAATTTTCATATATGACCTTCCTGATGTCATCACTTCATGGTATTTATACTGATGATACAACTATTTATTCCAGTCTTAATAGTGGATCTGATAAGTTCGAAAAGGTCAGATTGGCAGCTGACCCCCCCACCAAAATGACCTATAATCTGATGTTAAAAGTGGTAAGGAATGGCTTGTTAATTTTAACACCTCCAAAACGAAATAGTTCTTTTTTAATCTCCCGAAAGATCCACTTTTAACTTCCATCAGTATGGCTGATATTAATCTCCAGGAGTGTGAATCATTGCGCTTTTTCGGAAAAATGTTTTTCAGCTGACATGAAGTGAAAAGAGTCTTTTGAATCAATTGCTAAGTCTGCAGCTAGGAATGTTAGTTCACCGTGCCGTGCCAGACAATTTTTCTCGGCAAAATCTATCTTACATATTTATAAATCTACCATTCGTCCTTACTTTGAATATTGCTGCCACATTTGGTTAGGTGCTCTTCCTATATATTTAGAGATTCTTGATAAAATCCAAAGAAGAACCCGGCATCTCGATTTCACTCACTTTCCCACTGCCGGAACGTAGCTTCCTTGTGACATTTTTATAAATATTTTCATGCTAATGCTTCTGCTGAACATTCCTCTAATAGATCTAGGCTTTATGAATTTCAGCACAATACTCGAGGCAAAGTCTCATCATTTACAGTTGAAATGGCTAAGATATAAGTTATATGCTAACAGTTTCTTCCCAGGCTTCTTTGATCTTCAAAAATTTAAATGCAGTATCAATTGTTATCTTAATTCTTGTTCTTTTATTGTCCTCTCTCCTTAATAGGGTTTTTCTCTTATTCTTTAACATTCAGTAAACCCTTCGGTTTTAGAGGCTTTATTGCCTTGTTTGGTGTGGAATAATTTAAAAAAAATATTGTTTTTTGCTCACTCTCTTTAGTTAATTATAACAGCCAATTTACAAGATCGAAATACTTCCGTAAGCTGCACTATACTAAAAAAAAAAAAAAAGAAGAAATAAAAAGGAAATGAACTTTGACGTAATCTATTGGAAAAATATGAATCCGTGGAATGCTTCTTTTTTGGAGAATACGTATAACAAGGCTGCAAACGTCATGTTCAGTTTTCATCTTACAATTGCACATTGGCTGCACTCATTAAACAAGTATGTAGTTTTTGCTTATATCTGTTCCAAATAATAAATATATTTCAATTCGATCATGAAATGATCGTCTTTTTTGAACAGCATCACTACGAAAACTATCCAAAACTATATAATTAACTTAATAAAAAGAACTGATTTCAACAAGAAAAACATTTCGATGCAAAGAAAAGAAAAAGCGAAATCAATTGAGAAATATCGGCAGCATCATTAACCACAAAACATAATACCGTATAAAATCATTGATACCCACTGAGTCAAAATACTGAAAAGGATATTAGTTGCCAGGATAAAGCTGTACTTTAAACATTAACTTCACGATCTCATCTTCACATAGCTTTTTCAAATTTTCTTAATCATGCAATATTGTAACAAGTACTTGTCGAAATAATCAAATCTTGACCGTTATGTACAAAAACAAAGAGAAAAGAGTTAGGAGAGCGGGGTGAGAAAAATAAAGAAGAATCAATTGCTTCATCCACCGCAAGGAAAGTTGGTTCCCTGTGTCGCGCCAGAAAGTTTTTCTCACCCGAGTTCATCCTTCAAATTTATAAATCAACCATTCGCCCTTGCATGGAATACTGCTGCCATACATGGTCTGGTGCCCTCACTATAAGTCTTAAGGTCCTCGACAAAATCCTGAGACGGATATGCAATGTGATTGGCCCTGATCTGGCATCTCGTTTACACTCGCTCTCTCACAGACGTGCCGTCGCTTCCCTCTGTCTTTTCTACAAATACTTTCATGGTAACTGCTCCGACGATCTACTTTCGCTGGTTTCCAGACTGCACGAATTTAAACATGCTACTAGGTTGACATCTCGGTCTCACCCTTTCACTGTCGAAACGGTTAAATGTGGTCGTCTCTATTGGAGTAGAAGAAACGGCCACATTTTGGTAGTGATACTTGTTCACAAAAGACGATCATGTCTCGCACCTCCCGTCCGGGGAATTCCCTTCCTATTACTTGTTCACAAAAGACGATCATGTCTCGCACCTCCGTCCGGGGAATTCCTTCCTATTACTTGTTCACAAAAAGACGATCACGTCTCGCACCTCCCGTCCGAGGAATTCCTTCCTATTACTTGTTCACAAAAGACGATCATGTCTCGCACCTCCCGTCCGGGGAATTCCTTCCTATTACTTGTTCACAAAGACGATCACGTCTCGCACCTCCCGTCCGGGAATTCCCTTCCTATTACTTGTTCACAAAAGACGATCACGTCTCGCACCTCCCGTCTGTGGAATTCCCTTCCTATTACTTGTTCACAAAAGACGATCATGTCTCGCACCTCCCGTCCGAGGAATTCCCTTCGTATTACTTGTTTACAAAGACGATCATGTCTCGCACCTCCAGTCCGGGGAATTCCTTCCTATTACTTGTTCACAAAAGACGATCATGTCTCGCACCTCCCGTCCGGGGAATTCCCTTCGTATTACTTGTTCACAAAAGACGATCATGTCTCGCACCTCCGTCTGTGGAATTCCCTTCCTATTACTTGTTCACAAAAGACGATCATGTCTCACCTCCCGTCCGAGGAATTCCCTTCGTATTACTTGTTCAAAAGACGATCATGTCTCCCTCCCGTCTGTGGAATTCCTTCCTATTACTTGTTCAAAAAGACGATCATGTCTCGCACCTCCCGTCCGAGGAATTCCTTCCTATTACTTGTTCAAAAAGACGATCATGTCTCGCACCTCCGTCTGTGGAATTCCTTCCTATTATTTGTTCACAAAAAGACGATCATGTCTCTCGCACCTCCGTCCGGGGAATTCCCTTCCTATTACTTTGTTCACAAAAAAGACGATCATGTCTCGCACCTCCGTCCGAGGAATTCCCTTCCTATTACTTGTTCACAAAAGACGATCATGTCTCGCACCTCCCGTCTGTGGAATTCCTTCCTATTACTTGTTCACAAAAGACGATCATGTCTCGCACCTCCCGTCCGAGGAATTCCCTTCCTATTACTTGTTCACAAAAGACGATCATGTCTCCTGTCTGTGATTCCCTCCTATCTTGTTCACAAAAACGAATTCCTTCCCGTCGATTACTTGTTCACAAAGACGATCATGTCTCCTTTCCTCCCGTCTGTGGAATTCCCTTCCTATTACTTGTTCACAAAGACGATCATGTCTCGCACCTCCCGTCCGAGGAATTCCCTTCCTATTACTTGTTCACAAAAGACGATCATGTCTGATCATGTCTGTGGAATTCCCGTCCTGTTCACAAAGACGAATTCCCGTCCTTCCTTCCTATTACTTGTTCACAAAAGACGATCATGTCTCCTCCGTCTGTGGAATTCCCTTCCTATTACTTGTTCACAAAAGACGAGGTCTCGCAAATTCCCTTCGTATTACTTGTTCACAAAAGACGATCATGTCTCACCTCCCGTCTGTGGAATTCCTTCCTATTACTTGTTCACAAAAGACGATCATGTCTCGCACCTCCCGTCCGAGAATTCCTTCCTATTACTTGTTCACAAAAGACGATCATGTCGATCATGGAATTCCTTCCTATTACTTGTTCACAAAAGACGATCATGTCCCGTCTCAAATCCGGAATTCCCTTCCTATTACTTGTTCACAAAAAGACGATCATGTCTCGCACCTCCCGTCCGGGGAATTCCTTCCTATTACTTGTTCACAAAGACGATCATGTCCGCACCCCTTCCCTCATGTCTGTGGAATTCCTTCCTATTACTTGTTCACAAAGACGATCATGTCTCGCACCTCCCGTCCGAGGAATTCCCTTCCTATTACTTGTTCACAAAAGACGATCATGTCTCGCACCTCCGTCTGTGGAATTCCTTCCTCGATCATGTCTCGCACCTCCCGTCCGAGGAATTCCCTTCCTATTACTTGTTCACAAAAGACGATCATGTCTCGCACCTCCCCGTCCGGGGAATTCCCTTCCTATTACTTGTTCACAAAAGACGATCATGTCTCGCACCTCCCGTCCGAGGAATTCCTTCCTATTATTGTTCACAAAGACGATCATGTCTCGCACCTCCCATCTGTGGAATTCCCTTCCTGTCCGTTCCAAAAGACGATTCCTTCCCATCCGAGGAATTCCTTCCCTTCACAAAAAGACGATCATGTCTCGCACCTCCGTCTGTGGAATTCCTTCCTATTACTTGTTCAAAAGACGATCATGTCTCGCACCTCCGTCCGAGGAATTCCTTCCCTATTACTTGTTCACAAAAGACGATCATGTCTCGCACCTCCCGTCTGTGGAATTCCTTCCTATTACTTGTTCACAAAAGACGATCATGTCTCGCACCTCCCGTCCGAAGGAATTCCTTCCTATTACTTGTTCAAAAGACGATCATGTCTCGCACCTCCCGTCTGTGGAATTCCTTCCCTATTACTTGTTCACAAAGACGATCATGTCTCGCACCTCCGTCCGAGGAATTCCCTTCCTATTACTTGTTCAAAAAGACGATCATGTCTTCCGTCTGTGGAATTCCTCCCGTCTGTCGGAATTCCTTCCCCTATTACTTGTTCACAAAAAGACGATCATGTCTCACCCTCCCGTCTGAGGAATTCCTTCCTATTACTTGTTCACAAAAAGACGATCATGTCTCGCACCTCCGTCCGAGGAATTCCTTCCTTTACTTGTTCACAAAAGACGATCATGTCTCGCACCTCCGTCTGTGGAATTCCTTCCTATTACTTGTTCACAAAAAGACGATCATGTCTCGCACCTCCCGTCTGTGGAATTCCCTTCCTATTACTTGTTCACAAAAAAGACGATCATGTCTCTCCCGTCTGAGGGAATTCCTTCCTTGTTCACAAAAGACGATCATGTCTCGCACCTCCCGTCCGGGAATTCCTTCCTATTACTTGTTCACAAAAGACGATCATGTCTCTCGCACCTCCCGTCTGTGGAATTCCTTCCTATTACTTGTTCACAAAGACGATCATGTCTCGCACCTCCCGTCCGGGGAATTCCTTCCTATTACTTGTTCACAAAAGACGATCATGTCTCGCACCTCCCGTCTGAGGAATTCCTTCGTATTACTTGTTCACAAAGACGATCACGTCTCGCACCTCCGTCCGAGGAATTCCTTCCTATTACTTGTTCACAAAAGACGATCATGTCTCGCACCTCCCGTCCTGGAATTCCTTCGTATTACTTGTTCACAAAAGACGATCATGTCTCGCACCTCCCGTCCGGGGAATTCCCTTCCTATTACTTGTTCTGAAAAGACGATCATGTCTCGCACCTCCCGTCCGTGGAATTCCCCTTCCCCGTATTACTTGTTCACAAAAAGACGATCATGTCTCGCACCTCCCGTCCGAGGAATTCCCTTCGTATTACTTGTTCACAAAAAGACGATCATGTCTCTCGCACCTCCCGTCTGTGGAATTCCCTTCCTATTACTTGTTCACAAAAGACGATCATGTCTCGCACCTCCCGTCCGAGGAATTCCTTCCTCAAAAAGACGATCATGTCTCGCACCTCCTGTCCGAGGAATTCCTTCCTATTACTTGTTCACAAAGACGATCATGTCTCTCGCACCTCCGTCCGGGGAATTCCTTCCTATTACTTGTTCACAAAAGACGATCATGTCTCGCACCTCCGTCTGAGGAATTCCTTCCCCTATTACTTGTTCACAAAAAGACGATCATGTCTCGCACCTCCCTGTCCGAGGAATTCCCTTCCTATTACTTGTTCACAAAAGACGATCATGTCTCGCACCTCCCCCGTCTGTGGAATTCCTTCCCGTCCGAGGAATTCTATTACTTGTTCACAAAGACGATCATGTCTCTCGCACCTCCCGTCCGAGGAATTCCTTCGTATTACTTGTTCACAAAAAAGACGATCATGTCTCGCACCTCCCGTCTGTGGAATTCTCTTCCCCTTTACTTGTTCACAAAGACGATCATGTCTCGCACCTCCCGTCCGAGGAATTCCCTTCCTATTACTTGTTCACAAAAGACGATCATGTCTCGCACCTCCCGTCTGTGGAATTCCCTTCCTATTACTTGTTCACAAAAGACGATCATGTCTCGCACCTCCCGTCTGTGGAATTCCCTTCCTATTACTTGTTCACAAAAGACGATCATGTCTCGCACCTCCGTCTGTGGAATTCCCTTCCTATTACTTGTTCACAAAGACGATCATGTCTCGCACCTCCGTCCGAGGAATTCCCTTCGTATTACTTGTTCACAAAAGACGATCATGTCTCGCACCTCCCGTCCGAGGAATTCCCTTCCTATTACTTGTTCACAAAGACGATCATGTCTCGCACCTCCCCGTCCCTTCGTATTATTTGTTCACAAAAGACGATCATGTCTCGCATCTCCGGGAATTCCTTCCTATTACTTGTTCACAAAGAATTCCCCTGTTCCTATTACTTGTTCACAAAAGACGATCATGTCTCGCACCTCCCGTCCGAGGAATTCCCTTCGTATTACTTGTTCACAAAAGACGATCATGTCTCGCACCTCCCGTCCGAGGAATTCCTTCCTATTACTTGTTCACAAAGACGATCATGTCTCGCACCTCCCCGTCCGAGGAATTCCTCCTATCTTGTTCACAAAAGGAATTCCTTCCTATTACTTCCTATTACTTGTTCACAAAGACGATCATGTCTCGCACCTCCCGTCTGAGGAATTCCTTCGTATTACTTGTTCACAAAAGACGATCATGTCTCGCACCTCCCGTCCGAGGAATTCCTTCGTATTACTTGTTCACAAAAGACGATCATGTCTCACCTCCCGTCCGAGGAATTCCTTCCTATTACTTGTTCACAAAAGAGACGATCATGTCTCGTTCACCTCCTGTCCGTCCGGAATTCCCTTCCTATTACTTGTTCACAAAAGACGATCATGTCTCGCACCTCCCGTCTGAGGAATTCCTTCCTATTACTTGTTCACAAAACGATCATGTCGATCATGTTCTCGCATCACGTCTCCCGTCCGAGGAATTCCTTCCTATTACTTGTTCACAAAAGACGATCATGTCTCGCACCTCCCGTCTGTGGAATTCCCTTCCTATTACTTGTTCACAAAAGACGATCATGTCTCGCACCTCCCGTCCGAGGAATTCCCTTCCTATTACTTGTTCACAAAAGACGATCATGTCTCGCACCTCCCGTCTGTGGAATTCCCTTCCTATTACTTGTTCACAAAAGACGATCATGTCTCGCACCTCCCGTCCGAGGAATTCCCTTCCTATTACTTGTTCACAAAAGACGATCATGTCTCCTGTCCGTGGAATTCCACCTCCCATGTCTGTGGAATTCCTTCCTATTACTTGTTCACAAAAGACGATCATGTCTCGCACCTCCGTCCGTGGAATTCCTTTCCTATTACTTGTTCACAAAAGACGATCATGTCTCGCACCTCCCGTCCGAGGAATTCCTTCCTATTACTTGTTCACAAAAGACGATCATGTCTCGCACCTCCGTCTGTGGAATTCCTTCCGTATTACTTGTTCACAAAAGACGATCATGTCTCGCACCTCCCGTCCGAGGAATTCCTTCCTATTACTTGTTCACAAAAGACGATCATGTCTCGCACCTCCGTCTGTGGAATTCCTTCCTATTACTTGTTCACAAAAGACGATCATGTCTCGCACCTCCGTCACCTCCTTGTTCACAAAGACGATCTAGGGAATTCCTTCCTATTACTTGTTCAAAAAGACGATCATGTCTCGCACCTCCTGTCCGAGGAATTCCCTTCCTATTACTTGTTCACAAAAGACGATCATGTCTCGCACCTCCCGTCCGAGGAATTCCCTTCCTATTACTTGTTCACAAAAGACGATCATGTCTCCTGCACCTCCTGTCCGAGGAATTCCCTTCCTATTACTTGTTCACAAAAGACGATCATGTCTCGCACCTCCCGTCCGAGGAATTCCTTCCTATTACTTGTTCACAAAAGACGATCATGTCTCGCACCTCCCGTCCGTTCACAAAAAGACGAATTCCCTATTACTTTGTTCACAAAAGACGATCATGTCTCGCACCTCCCGTCCGTTCCTTCCTATTACTTGTTCACAAAAGACGATCATGTCCTCTCCGTCCGTATTTCCTTCTATTACTTGTTCACAAAAGACGATCATGTCTCGCACCTCCCCGTCTGAGGAATTCCCTTCCTATTACTTGTTCACAAAAGACGATCATGTCTCGATCATGTCTTCCTATTACTTGTTCACGATCATCCGTCTCCCGTCTGGGGAATTCCTTCCTATTACTTGTTCACAAAGACGATCATGTCTCGCACCTCCTCCCGTCTGAGGAATTCCCTTCCTATTACTTGTTCACAAAAAGACGATCATGTCTCGCACCTCCCGTCCGGGGAATTCCCTTCCTATTACTTGTTCACAAAAGACGATCATGTCTCGCACCTCCCGTCCGAGGAATTCCCTTCGTATTACTTGTTCACAAAAGACGATCATGTCTCGCACCTCCCGTCCGTGGAATTCCCTTCCTATTACTTGTTCACAAAAGACGATCATGTCTCGCACCTCCCGTCCGAGGAATTCCCTTCGTATTACTTGTTCACAAAAGACGATCATGTCTCGCACCTCCCGTCCGGGGAATTCCCTTCCTATTACTTGTTCACAAAAGACGATCATGTCTCGCACCTCCCGTCCGAGGAATTCCCTTCGTATTACTTGTTCACAAAGACGATCATGTCTCGCACCTCCCGTCCGAGGAATTCCCTTCCTATTACTTGTTCACAAAAGACGATCATGTCTCGCACCTCCCGTCCGAGGAATTCCCTTCATAATCTTCTCCCGTCCGAGGAATTCCCTTCCCTATTACTTGTTCACAAAAGACGATCATGTCCACCTCCCGTCCGAGGAATTCCTTCCTATTACTTGTTCACAAAAAGACGATCATGTCTCGCACCTCCGTCCGATCTTGTTCACAAAAGACGATCATGTCTCGCACCTCCGTCCCCTTCATTACTTGTTCACAAAAAGACGATCATGTCGCACCTCCTGTCCGAGGAATTCCCTTCCTATTACTTGTTCACAAAAGACGATCATGTCTCACCTCCGTCAATTCCTCCTTCTTACTTGTTCACAAAAGACGATCATGTCTCGCACCTCCTGTCCGAGGAATTCCCTTCCTATTACTTGTTCACAAAAACGACGATCATGTCTCGCACCTCCCCCGTCTGTATTAATTCCTTCCTCCCGTCCGGGGAATTCTTCGTATTACTTGTTCACAAAAGACGATCATGTCTCGCACCTCCCGTCCGAGGAATTCCCTTCGTATTACTTGTTCACAAAAGACGATCATGTCTCGCACCTCCCGTCCGGGGAATTCCCTTCCTATTACTTGTTCAAAAGACGATCATGTCTCGCACCTCCCGTCCGAGGAATTCCCTTCCTATTACTTGTTCACAAAAGACGATCATGTCTCGCACCTCCCGTCCGGGGAATTCCCCTATTACTTGTTCCGAGGAAAAAGACGATCATGTCTCGCACCTCCCGTCCGAGGAATTCGTTCACAAAGACGATCTCCGTCCGGGGAATTCCCTTCCTATTACTTGTTCACAAAAGACGATCATGTCTCTCCCGTCCTTCCTTCGTATTACTTGTTCAAAAAGACGATCATGTCTCGCACCTCCCGTCCGGGGAATTCCTTCCTATTACTTGTTCACAAAAGACGATCATGTCTCGCACCTCCGTCCGAGGAATTCCCCCTCCTATTACTTGTTCACAAAAGACGATCATGTCTCTCGCACCTCCGTCCGTGGAATTCCCTTCGTATTACTTGTTCACAAAAGAATGTCTCGCACCTCCTAATTCCTTCGTATTACTTGTTCACAAAAGACGATCATGTCTCCCCGTCACCTCCCGTCCGTTCACAAAGAATTCCCTTCCTCCCGTCTTGTTCACAAAAGACGATCATGTCTCGCACCTCCGTCCGGGGAATTCCCTTCCTATTACTTGTTCACAAAAAGACGATCATGTCTCGCACCTCCCGTCTGTGGAATTCCTTCCCTATTACTTGTTCAACCTCCGTCCGTCAATTCCCTTCCTATTACTTGTTCACAAAAGACGATCATGTCTCGCACCTCCCGTCCGTTCACAAAGAATTCCCTTCCTATTACTTGTTCACAAAACGATCACGATCATGTCCCTTCCTATTACTCCCGTTCACAAAAGAATTCCCCTCCCGTCCGAGGAATTCCCTTTGTTTACTTGTTCACAAAAGACGATCATGTCTCGCACCTCCCGTCCGGGGAATTCCCTTCCTATTACTTGTTCACAAAGACGATCATGTCTCGCACCTCCCGTCTGAAATTCCCTTCGTATTACTTGTTCACAAAAGACTATCACGTCTCGCACCTCCCGTCCGAGGAATTCCCTTCCTATTACTTGTTCACAAAAGACGATCATGTCTCGCACCTCCCGTCCGAGGAATTCCTTCCTATTACTTGTTCACAAAGACGATCATGTCTCGCACCTCCCGTCCGAGGAATTCCCTTCCTATTACTTGTTCACAAAAGACGATCATGTCTCGCACCTCCCGTCCGGGGAATTCCCTTCCTATTACTTGTTCACAAAAGACGATCATGTCTCGCACCTCCTGTCCGAGGATTCCCTTCCTATTACTTGTTCACAAAAGACGATCATGTCTCTTTTTTTTCCCCGTCCGGGGAATTCCCTTCCTATTACTTGTTCACAAAAGACGATCATGTCTCTCGCACCTCCGTCCTCCCGTCCGAGGAATTCCCTTCCTATTACTTGTTCACAAAAGACGATCATCGCACCTCCCGTCTGTGCAATTCCTCCCCCCGTCCGAGGAATTCCTCACAAAAGACGATCATGTCTCGCACCTCCCGTCCGTTCCTTCCTATTACTTGTTCACAAAAGACGATCATGTCTCGCACCTCCCGTCCGAGGAATTCCCTTCGTATTACTTGTTCACAAAAGACGATCATGTCTCGCACCTCCCGTCTGTGGAATTACCTTCCTATTACTTGTTCACAAAAGACGATCATGTCTCGCATCTCCCGTCCGGGGAATTCCCTTCCTATTACTTGTTCACAAAAGACGATCATGTCTCGCACCTCCCGTCCGAGGAATTCCTTCCTATTACTTGTTCACAAAAGACGACGATCATGTCTCGCATTCCTCCCATCAGGAATTCCCTTCCTATTACTTGTTCACAAAAGACGATCATGTCTCGCACCTCCCGTCCGAGGAATTCCTTCCTATTACTTGTTCACAAAAGACGATCATGTCTCGCACCTCCCGTCCGAGGAATTCCCTTCCTATTACTTGTTCACAAAAGACGATCATGTCTCGCACCTCCCGTCCGTGGGAATTCCCTTCCTATTACTTGTTCACAAAAGACGATCATGTCTCGCATCTCCCGTCCGGGGAATTCCTTCCTATTACTTGTTCACAAAAGACGATCATGTCTCGCACCTCCCGTCCGAGGAATTCCCTTCCTATTACTTGTTCACAAAAGACGATCATGTCTCGCATCTCCCGTCCGAGGAATTCCTTCCTCTCATGTCTCGCACTCCCGTCCGGGGAATTCCCTTCCTATTACTTGTTCACAAAAAGACGATCATGTCTCGCACCTCCCGTCCGAGGAATTCCTTCCTATTACTTGTTCACAAAAAGACGATCATGTCTCGCACCTCCCGTCCGGGGAATTCCCTTCCTATTACTTGTTCACAAAGACGATCATGTCTCGCACCTCCCGTCCGTCCGAGGAATTCCTTCCCTATTACTTGTTCACAAAAGACGATCATGTCTCACCTCCCGTCCGACCTTCCTACTTGTTCCGACGAATTCTCTTCCCGTCTGAGGATTACTTCGTATTACTTGTTCAAAAAGACGATCATGTCTCGCACCTCCCGTCTGGGAATTCCCTTCCTATTACTTGTTCACAAAAGACGATCATGTCTCGCACCTCCCGTCCGAGAATTCCCTTCCTATTACTTGTTCACAAAGACGATCATGTTCGCACCTCCCGTCCGGGGAATTCCTTCCTATTACTTGTTCACAAAGACGATCATGTCTCGCACCTCCCGTCTGTGGAATTCCCTTCCTATTACTTGTTCACAAAAGACGATCATGTCTCGCACCTCCCGTCCGGGGAATTCCCTTCCTATTACTTGTTCACAAAAGACGATCATGTCTCGCACCTCCCGTCCGGGGAATTCCCTTCCTATTATGTTGTTCACAAAAGACGATCATGTCTCGCATCTCCCGTCCGGGGAATTCCCTTCCTATTACTTGTTCACAAAAGACGATCACGTCTCGCACCTCCCGTCCGAGGAATTCCCTTCGTATTACTTGTTCACAAAAGACGATCATGTCTCGCACCTCCCGTCTGGGAATTCCTTCCTATTACTTGTTCCAAAAGACGATCATGTCTCGAACCTCCTGTCGGAGGAATTCCCTTCGTATTACTTGTTCACAAAAGACGATCATGTCTCGCACCTCCCGTCCGGGGAATTCCTTCCTATTACTTGTTCACAAAAGACGATCATGTCTCGCACCTCCGTCCGGGGAATTCCCTTCCTATTACTTGTTCACAAAAGACGATCATGTCTCGCACCTCCCGTCCGGGGAATTCCCTTCCTATTACTTGTTCACAAAGACGATCATGTCTCGCACCTCCGTCCGAGGAATTCCTATTACTTGTTCACAAAACGATCATGTCTCGATTCCCTGTCTCGTCTCACCTCCCGTCCCCCCTTCCGTTCAGGACGAATTCCCTTCCTATTACTTGTTCACAAAAGACGATCATGTCTCGCACCTCCCGTCCGGGAATTCCCTTCCTATTACTTGTTCACAAAAGACGATCATGTCTCGCACCTCCCGTCCGTGGAATTCCCTTCCCTATTACTTGTTCACAAAGACGATCATGTTCACAAAAGACGATCATGTCTCGCACCTCCCGTCCGAGGAATTCCCTTCCTATTACTTGTTCACAAAAGACGATCATGTCTCGCACCTCCCGTCCGGGGAATTCCCTTCCTATTACTTGTTCACAAAAACGATCATGTCTCGATCATGTCTCAAAAGACGATCACGTCTCGCCTCCGTCCGAGGAATTCCCTTCCTATTACTTGTTCACAAAAGACGATCATGTCTCGCACCTCCCGTCCGGGGAATTCCTTCCTATTACTTGTTCACAAAGACGATCATGTCTCTCGCACCTCCCGTCCGTATTACTTGGAATTCCCCCTTCCTATTACTTGTTCACAAAAGACGATCATGTCTCGCACCTCCGTCCGAGGAATTCCCTTCCTATTACTTGTTCAAAAGACGATCATGTCTCGCACCTCCCGTCCGAGGGAATTCCTTCCTATTACTTGTTCTGAAAAGACGATCATGTCTCGCACCTCCCGTCCGAGGAATTCCCTTCGTATTACTTGTTCACAAAAAGACGATCATGTCTCGCACCTCCGTCTGTGGAATTCCTCCCTTGTCCAAAAGACGATCACGGAATTCCCTCCCTATTACTTGTTCACAAAAGACGATCATGTCTCGCACCTCCCGTCCGAGGAATTCCTTCGTATTACTTGTTCACAAAAGACGATCATGTCTCGCACCTCCCGTCCGGGGAATTCCCTTCCTATTACTTGTTCACAAAAGACGATCATGTCTCGCACCTCCCGTCTGTCTGGTAAAGAATTCCCTTCCTATTACTTTCACAAAAGTCATCTCGCAAAAATTCCTTCGTATTACTTGTTCACAAAAGACGATCATGTCTCGCACCTCCGTCCGTGGAATTCCCTTCCTATTACTTGTTCACAAAAGACAATCATGTCTCGCACCTCCCGTCCGAGGAATTCCCTTCCTATTACTTGTTCACAAAAGACGATCATGTCTCGCACCTCCCGTCTGTGGAATTCCTTCCTATTACTTGTTCACAAAGACGATCATGTCTCGCACCTCCGTCCGAGGAATTCCCTTCCTATTACTTGTTCACAAAAGACGATCATGTCTCGCACCTCCCGTCCGTGGAATTACCTTCCTATCCATTCACTTCGAGGAATTCACAAAAAGACGATCATGTCTCGCACCTCCCGTCCGGGAATTCCTTCCTATTACTTGTTCACAACGAGACGTCTCGCATCTCCCGTCCGGGGAATTCCCTTCCTATTACTTGTTCACAAAGACGATCACGTCTCGCACCTCCCGTCCGAGGAATTCCCTTCCTATTACTTGTTCACAAAAAGACGATCACGTCTCGCACCTCCCGTCCGGGGAATTCCCTCCTATTACTTGTTCACAAAGACGATCATGTCTCGCACCTCCCGTCCGAGGAATTCCCTTCGTATTACCGACGATCATGTCTCGCACCTCCCGTCCGGGGAATTCCCTTCCTATTACTTGTTCACAAAAGACGATCATGTCTCGCACCTCCCGTCCGAGGAATTCCTTCGTATTACTTGTTCACAAAAGACGATCATGTCTCGCACCTCCCGTCCGGGGAATTCCCTTCCTATTACTTGTTCACAAAAGACGATCATGTCTCGCACCTCCCGTCCGAGGAATTCCCTTCCTATTACTTGTTCGACGATCATGTCGCACCTCCCGTCCGAGGAATTCCTTCGTATTACTTGTTCACAAAAAGACGATCTCCGCATCCGTCTCGCAATTCCTTCCTCCGATCATGTCTCAAGGAATTCCCTTCCTATTACTTGTTCACAAAAGACGATCATGTCTCGCACCTCCCGTCCGGGGAATTCCCTTCCTATTACTTGTTCACAAAAGACGATCATGTCTCGCACCTCCGTCCGGGGAATTCTCCTATTACTTGTTCACAAAAGACGATCAGCTCGAACCTCCCGTCCGAGGAATTCCTTCCTATTACTTGTTCACAAAGACGATCATGTCTCGCACCTCCGTCCGGGGAATTCCCTTCCTATTACTTGTTCACAAAAGACGATCATGTCTCGCACCTCCTGTCCGAGGAATTCCCTTCCTATTACTTGTTCACAAAAGACGATCATGTCTGTCTCCCGTCCGAGGAATTCCCTTCCTCCCGTCCAAAGGAATTCCCTTCCCGTCCGGGGATTACCTTCCTATTACTTGTTCACAAAGACGATCATGTCTCGAACCTCCCGTCGGGGGAATTCCCTTCGTATTACTTGTTCACAAAAGGAATCATGTCTCACCTCCCGTCCGGGAATTCCTTCCTATTACTTTTCACAAAAGACGATCATGTCTCGCACCTCCCGTCCGGGAATTCCTTCCTATTACTTGTTCACAAAAAAACGATCATGTCTCGCACCTCCGGGGAATTCCTTCCGTTCACAAAAGACAATCACGTCTCACCTCCCGTCCGAGGAATTCCTTCGTATTACTTGTTCACAAAAGACGATCATGTCTCGCACCTCCTGTCCGAGGAATTCCCTTCGTATTACTTCTTCACAAAAGACAATCATGCTCGATGAGGAATTCCTTCGTATTACTTGTTCACAAAAGACGATCATGTCTCGCACCTCCCGTCTGTGAATTCCTTCCTATTACTTGTTCACAAAGACGATCATGTCTCGCAAAGTCGATTCCCCTTCATTTGTTCACAAAATCGATCGTCTCGCACCTCCGTCTGTGGAATTCCCTTCCTATTACTTGTTCACAAAAGACGATCATGTCTCGCACCTCCCGTCCGAGGAATTCCTTCGTATTACTTGTTCACAAAGACGATCATGTCTCGCACCTCCCGTCCGTGGAATTCCTTCCTATTACTTGTTCACAAAAGACGATCATGTCTCGCATCTCCGTCCGGGGAATTCCCTTCCTATTACTTGTTCACCATCCCGTCCGAGGAATTCCTTCTATTACTTGTTCACAAAGACGATCATGTCTCGCACCTCCCGTCCGAGGAATTCCTTCCTATTACTTGTTCACAAAAGACGATCATGTCTCGCACCTCCCGTCCGGGGAATTCCCTTCCTATTACTTGTTCTGAAAGACGATCATGTCTCGCATTCCCGTCCGTGGAATTCCCTTCCCTGCATTTGTTCTGAAGACGATCATATCTCGCACCTCCCGTCCATGGAATTTCCTTCGTATTACTTGTTCACAAAAGACGATCATGTCTCTCCCGTCCGAGGAACCTCCCGTCCGAAAAGGAATTCCTTCCTATTACTTGTTCACAAAAGACGATCATGTCTCGTATCACCTCCGTCCGAGGAATTCCTTCCTATTACTTGTTCACAAAAAGACGATCATGTCTCGCACCTCCCGTCCGTCATATTCCTTCCTATTACTTGTTCACAAAAGACGATCATGTCTCGCACCTCCCGTCCGGGAATTCCCTTCCTATTACTTGTTCACAAAAAGACGATCATGTCTCGCACCTCCTGTCCGAGGAATTCCCTTCCTAAAGACGAATGTCTTCGCACCTTGGAATTCCCTTCCTATTCTTGTTCACAAAAGACGATCATGTCTCGCACCTCCCGTCCGGGGGAATTCCTTCCTATTACTTGTTCACAAAAAGACGATCATGTCTCGCACCTCCTGTCCGGGGAATTCCTTCCTATTACTTGTTCACAAAGACGATCATGTCTCGCACCTCCCGTCCGAGGAATTCCTTCCTATTACTTGTTCACAAAAGACGATCATGTCTCGCACCTCCCGTCTGTGGAATTCCCTTCCTATCCTCACAAAAGTCCATTATGTCTCCACCTCCCGTCCAAGTTTCCCTTCGTACGATCATTTCGCAAAAAAAAGACGATCATGTCTCGATCCCGTCCGTTCCCTTCGCATTACTTGTTCCAAAAGACGATCATGTCTCGCACCTCCCCCGATCAGAATTCCCTTCCTATTACTTGTTCACAAAGACGATCATGTCTCGCACCTCCCGTCCGAGGAATTCCTTCCCTATTACTTGTTCACAAAGACGATCGTCTCGCATCTCCCGTCCGAATTCCTTCACAAAAAGACGATCATGTCTCGCTTCCCGTCCGAGGAATTCCCTTCGTATTACAAAAGACGATCATGTCTCGCACCTCCCGTCCGAGGAATTCCCTTCCTATTACTTGTTCACAAAAGACGATCATGTCTCGCACCTCCCGTCCGAGGAATTCCTTCGTATTACTTGTTCACAAAAGACGATCATGTCTCGCACCTCCCGTCCGGGGAATTCCCTTCCATTACTTGTTCACAAAAGACGATCATGTCTCGCACCTCCGTCCGAGGAATTCCCTTCCTATTACTTGTTCACAAAAGACGATCATGTCTCGCACCTCCCGTCCGGGAATTCCCTTCCTATTACTTGTTCACAAAGACGATCATGTCTCGCACCTCCCGTCCGAGGAATTCCTCCGTCGAAAAATCATGTCTTCTCCCGTCCGAGGAATTCCTTCGTATTACTTGTTCACAAAAGACGATCATGTCTCGCACCTCCCGTCTGAGGAATTCCCTTCCTATTACTTGTTCAAAAAGACGATTCCCTTCATGTCTTCACAAAAGACGATCATCCCGTCCGTCTGTGGAATTACCTTCCTATTACTTGTTCACAAAAGACGATCATGTCTCGCATCTCCCGTCCGGGGAATTCCCTTCCTATTACTTGTTCACAAAAGACGATCACGTCTCGCACCTCCCGTCCGAGGAATTCCCTTCCTATTACTTGTTCACAAAAGACGATCACGTCTCGCACCTCCCGTCCGGGGAATTCCCTTCCTATTACTTGTTCACAAAAGACGATCATGTCTCGAACCTCCCGTCGGAGGAATTCCCTTCGTATTACTTGTTCACAAAAGACGATCATGTCTCGCACCTCCCGTCCGGGGAATTCCCTTCCTATTACTTGTTCACAAAAGACGATCATGTCTCGCACCTCCCGTCCGGGGAATTCCCTTCCTATTACTTGTTCACAAAAGACGATCATGTCTCGCACCTCCCGTCCGGGGAATTCCCTTCCTATTACTTGTTCACAAAAGACGATCACGTCTCGCACCTCCCGTCCGAGGAATTCCCTTCCTATTACTTGTTTCCCTGATAGTTATAATCTCCAACTATTCCAGATGCCTTGATTTAATTCACCGTCCTTCTCTTCATTCTTTCCTCTATCATGCCTATTTACTCTCGCTCCCACTCTCTGTAATTAATTATTAAGCAATTATTAAAATCTTTTTATATTTAGCTCATTAATTTATTGATATTTTTAATGAAAAACAAGTCATTCATTCTTCTCTCCAAATTAACAAATATTCTTTTAGAACAATTATTCAAGATTAAAAGTATCACAATAGATGCGAATCTTTATTCAATATCATTGATAATATTCAATTGGGAGACTGTTTTAGCCATGTAAATAATTAGTGCGGGTTGTTATAAAATAAAATAAGACATATCTCAGCTGATTTACAGGCAAATACTCAAAAGCGAGAACCGGATGTAAACGGGACAAAGCCCCGTCACAAAATGACCATTATCTTTCTTTACAAATGTTCCCGACACACGTGTTCCGGTCGAAAAATAAAATAATATTTAAAGTGCTCTATTTTTCGTCCAATAAAAATGCTTCCCTCTCCTAATTATACTCGCTTCGTTTTTCGAGCCTGTTAAGCCACAAAAAAACGCTATAAATGGGGTCACACGGAAGTTCAACGGCAGTCCACAGGTGCCCAGGGTAGAGACCTGTCATGTTCAGCTGCTGACAGCAGGGGAGCGTCAGCCACCGTCAACATGTGTGAACTACTATGAGAGATCGACCTAGATCCGAAAGCCGGCTTATGAACTTTACCACAAGGTAGCTGTCCCAAACCCACATGTTCCTGTTGAAATAAACCACGTAAATCTATTTCTGCTGTTGTCGTATTTCTTTCTTGCAACCATACGCTTGTCTATAACACTGGTGTCAGAAGCGTACAGCAAGAGAAATATGGCCGACTACACGAGGTTCACCTTTAGCCGAAGTATTTACTCTCATCAAGGAACAGAAAACACTACTATTCAACTTGAAAACGGGACCAAAAACAGCCTTCCCTGCAGCCACGATACAGGAAATTCAAACCGACATAAACAACATGCTGACTGCCCTAAAATCAACTTGTCTTCAACACCTCCTACCGCTCAAACAAACGGCGATTACAGCTTAATGATGCGCCAACAAACTATACGCGACATATTGAAGCTAAAGAGAACTTTTTACCCTGGACACGACGTGAACCGATTCATCACAGCTCTAAACAAAGCACGTCACAATCCACGTCACGCCAGAACTCAGCACCTATCCCAGCCTGGAATGCGAATTCGTCAAGTCTGCTAAAGATTTACTGGACCAAAGTATCTTTCAGCAGATGGTTGACTCAAAAAAGGACATATCCACCTTCGAACAACTGAAGGAATACTTATTAGGAGCCCACGGAAGCCAGATGACTAACTTCCAACACCTCAGTCAAGCCTGGGACCTGGAACGGCGAGACGGCGAAAAATTAACAGACTTCGCGGGTCGACTCGAAAACACCCTTAGAGAGGAAGCCGTCCACATAAAAAACAAATACAAAAAAGACAAAAATAGATTTAACAGTCGATGGACTTATTTCCATCATCGGCGTTATGCTAATGAGCGAAAAGGTGAAAATTTGGAACTCAAATCTTTACCCACATCTCGTCAAGACAATGGACAACCACTATTCAGCCATTGACATAGCCTCCGAAGCTCAAATATACCTTGATCGCGGTGTAAAATCCAACGACACAACTTCGCACGACAGCGCTCAAACCAGAAACAACACCCGATAGCCCAGGCTTTGGAAGCAGACGTAGATACCGAAATTAAGCGTATGGCTGATGAAGGTATCATTGAAAACTGCAGCGACCCCAAAGGCTTCAATAGCCCTGTATTTGCCGTACGCAAGAAAAACGGATCGATTCGTGTCGTTGCTAACTTTAAAAGAACTCTCAACAAGGTCTTAGTCGATCTTGACCCTTACCCAATGCCAAGGATCGACCACTTGTTCAACAAAATCGGCAAAGGCAATAGATATTTTACTACCCTTGATCTACGCAGCGGCTACTGGCAAATTGAGATCGACAAGCGAGACCGATACAAAACAGCATTTACATGGAAGGACCAATGCTATCAATACACGCGCCTGGCCTTCGGCCTTACATCTGCCGGACAAATCTTCTCCCGTTGCATAGCAGAAGCCCTAGCCACGGTCACATCCCGTGACAACATTTCTTCCTATATCGACGACAAGCTGGTCACGCTAGGACATTTAGGGAGTACATACTTTCCCTCGAACAATTTTTTACTGCCCTCCGAAAATTCGGACTCAAGCTGAATCCTGATAAATGTTCCTTCCTCGCATCAGAGGCAAAATTCCTCGGACGCATAGTAAACAGCGAAGGATTCAAAGGCTGATCCAGAATACGTTCGTACCATCAGGGAAATGAAACCTCCAACATCAAAAAAGGAATTACAAAGCCTTATCGGCCGTTTAGTGTGGATCAGACAATTCCTAGAGACACGTCTTCACGAACAAATCAGGTCAGATATGTTTTCAAAACTTATGGGTCCCATACACGAACTCAACAAGGTTAATAAACCGTTTGTCTGGACGCAAAATGCCGACAGAGCCTTCAAAAAAATCAAGGACCGTCTCCTTCGCCACCCGTCATCTCGTTTCCAGATTTCTCCAAACTTTTCACACTCACCACCGACGCCAGTGACGTCGCATGTGGAGCAATCTTAATGCAAGAAGCCGACAACGGGAAGAAAGATATCATAGCGGTCGCTTCCCATACATTCAACTCCACGGAACAGAACTGGTCCACGACGGAACGAGAGGCATAATGTGGGAAATATTGAAATTTGATTATTTCCTTCGCAACCGCCCCTTCGTCATCTTCACCGACCACAGATCGCTGACATATCTGGACCAACGAGAGTTCAATAATGCCAAAATACGACGATGGCAAGAAGAAATTTCATGTTATAAATTCATGTTTGAATATGTTGAAGGCGAATCAAATGTATGGGCTGACATGCTCAACAGAGGTTGCAGACATAAGAAAACGAAAGCCCCGAACGACCCTACACCGGCAGGCAGGACATTCGAGGTAAGTGGATCAGACCTCCGCGTATACATCCCATTTTGGTGCCTCGGCGAGTTTAACGGTTTACAGCTCATTCCCAAAACTCATACACCACAAAACGCCCGCACCCACAAGCGCGTCACCAACGCATTCTTCGCCTATCACTACACCACCACCATCCCCACTGAGAGAATCTGCAACCACCTCGGCATCGCAGATGAACAACTGAAGGACGACGCCCTGGCAAAGATCATCAGCGCCCTCCAGTCACCCACCCCAAGCGAACCTCATATCGATCCTGACGACCACCGAGCTATGCTTTTCAAAAAACATTTCCACCAATTTTTTCTAGAACCAGGCACCTCCGTTTTGATGATAAGAGACAGTAAACACTCTCCGAGATTGGTTGTACCATACAAACTACGACCCAGATACCTCTACCAAGCACACGAGGGCAACAACCACTCAGGTGTCACCCGTATGCGAGAACTCCTTTCCAGCTACTGGTGGGAATTCAAAAACCGCGACATCAAGGCCTATGTCGATTCTTGCGACACGTGTGTTCAGTGCAAGGGCAACTACGGTAGACGTACCCACTGGCCCATTGGCCACTGCAAACGAGGAAAGAGACCATTCGATCTCGTCTTTATAGACTTTGTCACAATGCCCAACTCAAAGGGAAATCGCTACATCCTAACCATCTTGGATAGCTTCAGCCGACATTTTACAGCCATACCATGCGCGAGAGACCGTGCTATCGATGCCGCCCGCGGATTGTACCAGTTCTTCCTTCGACACAGAGATTCCACGCATAGTATCCTCTGATCGAGGCACACACTTCACTGGAGAAGTCTATCGACAATTCTGTAACCAGATGTCAATCACGCAAGAACTTCACTGTCCTTGGCATCCGCAAAGCTCAGGAAATATCGAGAGACAACATCGCACGATGAAGAACGCACTTTATATGTTATGCGAAGACAGGAACTGTGAATGGACAGACGTTCTAGAATCTGTCGTTTCGTCCATGAAGGCCACGACCAACAGCGCCACCGGTGTCTCCCCGCACTATGTCATTACCGGCCGTCACCCCAACATCGGCCTACCTACACTACACAGAAAAGAAATCACAAGCGACGACCCTGGAGCATATGGAATGCAAATTAATGCCCTGCTTCTTTCTTGAAGAGTTTTAATTTCAGGCTAATATTTCCAATAAGTAAAGTACTTTGCTGTATTTCACACTGAATGTCAATTGATTGGAATGAGTTTTCTTTATTATCAGTATTCAAACCTGTCAACACAATATGATTATCTTTATTACAAAATAAAATATACTTTTTCTGAAACTTTATTTGAGGAA